CCAGGTGTATTCTTGCAGTGGCAGACTCTGTGAGTTACCTGAGGGCAGCCATAGTTACCTGAGGGCAGCCAAGTTCTGGCTAATTGTGACCATGCTTGAATTTCAAGTTCGTCATTTTATAATGATCTCAGTAGGGCCTCACAATAATCCTACAGAAGAGGTCTGAATATCCCCATTTTACAGATGAGAACACTTGAGTCTCAGAGTAGATTAAATCCCTTGCTCAGCATCAGTGATGGAACCAAGATTTGAACCTGAGCCGGTGTCTCCAGAGTCTAAGGCAGCTTTTCAGTGATGTGTGTACACAGACTACAAACTGGTGGCCTGGCTATTACACAATGGTCCTTAGACATATTCAAGAGGTTGCCAACCTTTAAAAACTTGGATGCTCCACAGATGATAAATCAGAATGTCAAGTTAATCTTAGAAAACTTAGATGGGCCTGATTAGTCCCTTTTGATCTGGAATCCTAAGGTAGTTTTGAAGGTAGAACCAGCAGCATTACTGATTGGATATTGAGTATGAGGGAGATAGAGGGTACCTAGTCTTGGGTCTGAGTAATGGAAGGACGCATTCTCCATGAATAGGAATGAGGAACATGATGGCAGAAACACACTTGAGGAGAAAGATGAGAAGTTCCAATTTGGACTTGAAGTTTGGGGTGTCCATTCTACATCATACTGAAGCTGTGAGGTTCACAGCTGAATCTGTGTCTTGACATGTCCAGGCTGGGGCATAAAATAGGCGAATAAACAGGTTTTGATAATTAGTTGGTCAGGGAAGGCCTCTCTGAGGAGGTGCATTTGTGCAAAGACCTGAATGAGGAGAGAGGTGAGCCTCTTTTTCCACAACCCTGGGAAAGGGCTCCAGATGAGGGAACAGCAGGTGCAGAGGCCCTGAGTCTGGACTGAGCTTGGCAAGTTAGAGGAACAGCAGGAAGTCTGATGTGTCTGCGGTGGAGTCAGCAAGGGGGAGGGAAGGATGAGGTGAAGTCAGAGAGATCAACAGGGAATAGAGCCAGTGGAGTAGTGAGCAGTTCTCAGCTTTGTCAGACCCAATGACCTCTCTCTCCTACAAATGCTTCCTATGCCCACTTACTCTCTGAAATTATATAGAAAATGCGTATGTGAAACATAACTAGATATGTAAATTTTTTAGTATTTTTATTGACTTTTTTAGACAGGAAGGGAAAAAGAGAGAAACATCGATTTGTTGTTCCACTTATTTATGTGTTCATTGGTTGGTTCTTGTATGTGGGGGCCCTGATGTGAGGGGTCAAACCCGTAACCTTGATGTATCAGGACAACACTCCAACCAACTGAACTACCAGGCCATGGCTAGATCTATAAGATTTAAAAAAAATATATTTTTATTGATTCCAGAGAGAAAGGAAGAGAGAGGGATAGAAACAATAATGAGAGAGAATCACTGATGGCCTGCGCGCCCCCAACTGGGGATAGAGCCCACAACCCGGGTAATTGAACTGTGATCTCAACCACTGAATCACATTGGTCGGGCTGTAAGGTTTTTAACAGTAAAGCACAGTTCAGTGGTTTTATGATATGGAGTTGTGCATCCATCACCATGATCGATTTGAGAACATTTCATTTCCTCAGAAAGAAATCTTGATCCCCTTAGCTGTCACCCCTTAATCTGCAGCTCACACCCCACCCCCCAGCTCTAAGCCACCACTAATCTACTTTCTTTTCTATAGATTTGCCTATTCTGAACATTCACATAAATAGAATCATACACTATATGGTCTTTTGTGCCTGGCTTCGTTCACGTAGCACGTGTTCTGGTTTCATCCAGGTTGTGGCATATATCAATACTTTGTTCCTTGAAATTTGATTGCCAAGTAATAGTCTATTGTATGGGTGAACGTTTTCTTTTCCCATTAGACTTTCTAACTAAAGAAGAAATAAAAGCCCTAAGCTGGCTTGGCTCAGTGAATAGAGTGTCTGCCTGCGGACGGATGGGTCTGGGGTTCGATTCCAGTCAAGGGCACAAGGTTGTGGGCTCAATCCCCAGTAGGGGGCATGCAGGAGGCAGCCAATGAATGATTCTCATCATTGATGTTTCCATCTCTCTCTCTCCCCCTCTCCCTTCCTCTCTGAAGTCAATTTTTTAAAAACTTTTTAAAAAAAACTAAAATAAAGAATGAAAGTAAGGTGATTTGACATAAAATCGGATTAATTTTAATCTGTAGATGCTCAGCCAGGACCACAGCAGAGAAGATGATGAAAGGAAGCTGCTCACACCTAACACCACCTGAGTGAGACAGCAACCAACGCAGTGACCCAGAGGGTGGCATTGGAAACATAAATGACACAAGTGTCATTACCGCTGATGTCACAGTTTCCTAAACGGATCAAAGACGCTTGGTCACGTTCAGAACCAAACAAAGTACAATCTTCCTTTCGTTTACGAAGCGTTGCATTCCTGGACATTTCAGTAGATCTTAAAACCATGCAAAAAAAAACAACAATAAATAAATACTTGGCCCTTTACATGTATTGTGTTGTTCAGAGATTCTAAACAGACTTTTCACAGCATTAATGTCTGGGGGACATTCTAAGGTCACCGAGGATCTGGGATGACTATTCCTTGTGAGGAGCTGCCTCTTAAGTTGTGGGTACAAACATCCATGGCCTCACCCACTGAGTGCCCATATCTGCCCCTAGTCATTGCAACAAGCAAAACTGCTCCCACAGCCCTGCCGGCTTGGCTCAGTGGATAGAGCGTCAGCCTGCAGACTGAAGGGTCCCAGGTTTGATTCCGGCTAAGGGCACATGCCTGGGTTGCGGGTGCATCCCCATAGTGGATGTGCAGAAGGCAGAAGATCAATGATTCTCTCTCATCATTGATGGTTCTCTCTCTTTCTCTTTTTTCCTTCCTCTCTGAAATCAATAAAGAAATATATTTTTGACCATAATCAATAAAATAAATTAATTAATTTTTTAAAAAACTGAAGATGAGGAGACCTGAGTTCTCCTTCTGACTTGAAATCTTTTAAAATTAAAAAAGAAAAGAAATATATATATTTTTTAAAACTGCTCCCACAAATACCCCCAGGGTCTTGCTTGGGGGTAGAGAGAGGAGAGGTAGAGCTGAGAGAGAGCTTCAGGGGCTAGCATGCACTTAGGGGGGTGCTAGCATGATAAGCACACACTTAGGGGGGCACCCCTAAGAAGGGCGAGTTCTGAGGGGACGTGGGAAGGGTTGGAAAGGAGACATGAGTTGTGAAATAGCCCCACTGGCATTCAGATTGGTCCACTGGATGGATGGGCTGCTTAGCCACCGAGGGGAGGGACCGCCATGTCCAAGTGGCTTGTTCTCTCCCTGCCTCTTCAGGCGTACGGTTCTGCCATCTTCATGTCACTGATAAGACACCTGTGTTAGATTGCTAGGGCTGCCGTAGCAAAGCACCACAGACCCCACGGCTTAAACAACAGAAATTCATTTTCTTCCAGTCCCGGAGGCCAGGAGCCCAAGACCAAGGTGTCCGCGTGTCTGGTTTCCGTTGAGGCCTTTCTCCTCTGCCTGTGGCTGGCTGTCTTCTTTCTGTGGTCTTTGCACTATCTTTCCTCTGTGTGTGTGTGTGTGTGTGTGTGTGTGTGTGTGTGTGTGTCCTAACCTCCTCCTCTTATCAGGACGCCTGTCATATTGGATCAGCGCCCCCAGGACCCTGCTTAGCCTGAATCCCTTTTTTATTTTTATTTTTTATTTATCTATTTTTTTTAATATTTTATTTTATTTTTTAATATATTTTATTGATTTTTTTACAGAGAGGAAGAGAGAGGGATAGAGAGTTAGAAATATGGATGAGAGAGAATCATCGATCAGCTGCCTCTTGCACACCCCCTACCAAGATACATGCCCTTGACCGGAATCGAACCCGGGACCTTTCAGTCCGCAGGCCGACGCTCTATCCACTGAGCCAAACCGGTTTTGGCGTGAATCCCCTTTTTAAAGCCCTATCTCCAAATACACTTGAGGTAGTGAGGGTGAGAACTGGCACATATGAATTGGGGGGAGGGAAGGACCATGAGACCCATAACAACAGCAAAGAGGTTAAGCAGGTGACCATGCCTTAGGCTGGGAGGCGCATTGCAGCTCCTTCACTCTCTGGGAGACCTGGGGGCACCTGGCCCTTCCCCTCTTAGGCCTCAAGTGGCCCCTCTGTAAAGTGAGACTGACGATGGCTTTTCTGGGGCTCAGGAGACTTTTTATTATTATTATTATTGATTTCAGAGAGGAAGGGGGAGGGGGAGAGAGATTGAAACCTCAATGATGAGAGAGAATCATGGATCGGTTGCCTCTTGCACACCCCCTACTGGGGATCGAGCCCGCACCCGGGCATGTGCTCCTGACCAGAATCGAACCTTAGACCCTTCTTCAGTCCGCAGGCCGACGCTCTATCCACTGAGCCACACCGGCTTGGGCTCAGGAGACTCTGAGTGATAGAGAAGGGTGTGGGCACCGTGGCAGGCTTGGAGCGGAGTCCTGGGGGCCCCCACGGGGTCAGCCACGAAGCCTTCAAGGTGCTGGATGGGAAGGAAGGCCCAGCAGACCTAGGGCATGGGACAGGCTGGCCGAGAGGCTACCGAGGGGACTTGGGTCACCAGCTCTTTTTTTAACTGACTAACAGGAACACATTCCGATATATGTCCTCTGACTTCCAGAGGGAGTGGAAGGGAGGAGGGAGAAAGAGAGAAGGAACACATGGATTAGTTGCCTCCCACACGCACCCTTACCGGAACCTGCAACCCAGTACAATCCCTTGACCAACAATCAAACCCTCCACCCTGTGGTCCACAGGCCGGCGCTCTATCCAGTGAGCCACACCGGCCAGGGCCCGGTATCTTTTTTTTTTTTTTTTTTTAAACAACCAGTAGGACCTGATTTGGGACCTTGAGCGCGGAGATGGGAATGCCATCCCCGTTCCCCGTTCCGGCTCCCGTGACCACCCTAACGCTCCTCCTGCTCGCCCTACGCAGGCCAAGCTGATCGTCCCCAACAGCACGGCGGGCCTGATCATCGGCAAGGGCGGCGCCACCGTGAAAGCCGTGATGGAACAGTCGGGGGCCTGGGTGCAGCTGTCCCAGAAGCCGGAGGGCATCAACCTGCAGGAGCGCGTGGTGACGGTCAGCGGCGAGCCCGAGCAGGTGCACAAGGCCGTGAGCGCCATCGTGCAGAAGGTACAGGAGGACCCCCAGAGCAGCAGCTGCCTCAACATCAGCTACGCCAACGTGGCCGGCCCCGTGGCCAACTCCAACCCCACCGGCTCGCCGTATGCCAGCCCCGCCGACGTGCTGCCAGCCGCGGCCGCTGCCTCGGCGGCCGCCGCCTCCGGCCTGCTGGGCCCCGCGGGGCTGGCCAGCGTGGGCGCCTTCCCCGCCGCCCTGCCCGCCTTCTCGGGCACGGACCTGCTGGCCATCAGCACCGCCCTTAACACGCTGGCCAGCTACGGCTACAACACCAACTCCCTCGGCCTGGGCCTCAACTCGGCCGCCGCCTCCGGGGTCCTGGCCGCCGTGGCCGCCGGTGCCAACCCCGCCGCGGCCGCCGCTGCCAACCTCCTGGCATCCTACGCGGGGGAGGCCGGGGCCGGGCCGGCCGGAGGGGCCGCCCCGCCGCCACCCCCGCCACCCGGAGCCTTGGGGTCCTTTGCGTTGGCCGCGGCCGCCAACGGCTACCTTGGGGCCGGGGCGGGCGGTGGGGCGGGCGCAGCGGGTGGCCCGCTGGTGGCCGCCGCCGCGGCCGCAGGGGCGGCCGGGGGCTTCCTGACGGCAGAGAAGCTGGCGGCCGAGAGCGCCAAGGAGCTGGTGGAGATCGCGGTGCCTGAGAACCTGGTGGGAGCCATCCTGGGCAAGGGGGGCAAGACGTTGGTGGAGTACCAGGAGCTGACAGGTGCCCGCATCCAGATCTCTAAGAAGGGCGAGTTCCTGCCCGGCACGCGGAACCGGCGGGTCACCATCACGGGCAGCCCCGCGGCCACGCAAGCCGCTCAATACCTCATCAGCCAGCGGGTCACCTACGAGCAGGGAGTGAGGGCCTCAAACCCCCAGAAGGTGGGATGAGGCCTGTGGTGTGTGCTCCCACCCTCCTCCCGATGCCTCCTCCTCCTCCTCCTCCTCCTCCTTCTTCTCCTCCTCCTCCTCCTCCTCCTCCCCAACTCTTGACCTCAGCTCGGGGTGGTCCTGCTCCTCCTGGGATTGGGGCTGAGGTTGGGGTTGGTCTGACGGCATCCCCCTTCCTTCTGGTAGTTCGTAGGCAGGATTGAGAGATGGCTGGGGATGGAGCCCAAAGCTCCCTCCCTGGCCCTGAATGGACTCCCTTCCTTCTTTCCTTCCTTCCTTCCTTTCTTCCTTCCTTCCTACACTTGGCTGGGCCTGACTCTCCTCCCCCAGGGCCCAGGTCTGTGTGATATCTGTATATATTGCATTTTGTTGATTTTAATAGAAAACAAAGCGTTATTTTCTCTTTCTTTCCCTCCTTTTTTTTTTTTTTTCCGGTTAAGGATTTTCTTTCTCCCCTTTTATCTGTTTTTGTTTCCCTACGGGCAGGGGGGGGGGGGGGAGATTCTGGGTGACCCAGCACGAAGGGCCTCCCCCAAAACATCACCCACCTCCCGTCGTGGGAGGAGAGGTAGCTGAAATGGGGCATTTGCAGCGGGAACCCCCCAAGTTCTCAGCTACTCTCCCCCCTCTGCAGTCACCCCTCCTCGGTGGGGCTTTTAACTTTTTGTTGTCAAATGGTATTGGGGGGTTGGGTAGGGGGCTGTGCTGCTGGGAATGAGGCTGGCTCTCGGCAAGACCCCTGTGAAAGGCTGGAGCAACTGCCTGTGGCATCTCCTGTGGCTTTTCCTAAAGTAATAGGAACCTGTTGTGACGCCACTGAGTCAAATACTTTCTGGGGCACTTCTGGAATTTTTTGTGATGTCATAGGAAGTAGTTCCCCAAAGGTCAACTTCCTGTGATGATAGGGAAGATAGGTACTTCCTACGGCGTCTCGTGAAGGTTGCTTGAATGACATCACGGAGGGGGCATGTACTTCCTGTGGTGTTTCCAGGGCACTTCCTGTGATGTCATTGGGACGAAGCATGCACTTCCTGTAGTGGGCCATGGCCAGTTAGTTACGGACCCTCCTTCTCCCCACCCTTGCTCCTCGTTGGTGGGTCTTGGCCTAGAGGGTCTTCCTAGGAGGAGAATAATAGGGGCGGGACTTGGATCTGATCGGACGGACTCCAAGGGGAAAGACCCAGCCCTGTCGGGGTCACCTCCGTGCAAACACACCCCGTCTGTGAACTCACCTGGCAGGGAGCTAGTGAAAGCTACTGTCAGAGACCCCCATCCCTACCCCCCACCTTGTGTGTGCATGCCTGTGTCTGCGTGGCTTTGTCTCATGGAGTCTGGTGAGCCTAGTGTGCGGGGCCCGCTGTGGAGGTCAGTGAGCAATGGCCGGGGCCCTTGGCCAGAAGGCTCCGTGCGGCCTAATGGATTAGGTTGGCTTGTGGTCTCCGGCGAGCTGGAGCACTCGGTGGTATCTGATGAGTCAGAATGTTTTGGTGCTCTCGCTGTGGGCTCTGAGGAGCTAGAATGTTCTGATGGCGTCTGCCAAGCCAGGCGGCCCTGAGCCTGGGTTTGGGAGCGGCTCCCTGGGCTCGGCGGCTGTGGTCAGATGGAAGGCCTTGTTGGCAGGCTGAGGTTTCAGGGCCTGACAACCCTGTAGACTTAGGATAGCTGAGACCCACTTCTATCCCTTTCCCCCTCCCCCCATGCCCTCAGAGGCCACCTCCGCTTCCTCCAACCCAAAGCAGGGCCCCCAGGGCCCTGGTTCCATCATCAGCATCTCTGGGGGAGGGGCACCCCATGCCCACCCTCTCCCCCATTTGCCCCCTCCTCGGTCTTCCAGACCCTCCTCTTCTCCACGGCTTTGGGGGAATCCGGCCTCCTCATCTCTCTCCTCCCGCCAAAAAAAAAAAAAAAGGAGGGAAGAAAAGCCAGAGACAATTCCCACCCCTAAAGCCGGGGAGATGGCTGCCCCTCGCTAGAGAGCCACCCCCAAATCAAAATGTGAAAAAACCCCTAGAAAGCAATAGCCTTCAAGGTACCTTGCACTGAATTTCCCACCCTGAGGGGAGGCTGTAGCGTGGGCTCTGGGGTTACTATGCCCTCTCCATCGCCAGGGTGGAGGGAGGGCAGGCCCCATCTCCCCACCCCCTACCTCCTGTCGCTGCTGCCCCCGCCCACCCCTAATCTCCAGACTGAAGCCAGATGGAGATCTGAGTGCCAAAACAATCCTTGATGTCACTTTGTACATATCTTCTGCAATTGGGGGGGGCTCCTGAGATTGGAGGTGGGGCTGGCCCCGGGGGCCATGGCTCCCCCCTCCTGTCAAAAAGACCTTACAGTATTTCACAGTAATCCACCCACGTGTGGGTATTGCAGTATCTAACTGGAATATTCCCCCCTCCCCCTCCTACAATTCCTGTCCCCAGGCCCCCAGGAGGAGGGAGGAGCCAGGGAGCGGTCAAGTAAGGTCTGGGCGCGGGGAGGTGGGGGTTTGAAAGTCGCTCATTTGCATATCGTTTGCATCCTCAGCCGCCCGCCCTCTGCTTGTCGGACATTGTTTTCTGTGCCCGTTTCTGGGGGTCCAGTATCCTTTCACACAGTCACGTCTCTGGAGGCTGGGCCTCCTGGAAAGTGTGTCCTTTGGGATATCTGTGTGACAATCCCCCTCCCTAGTCACGTGTCTCGGGGACCCTCCCCCACCCCCACCCCGTACCCCGCCAGCCAGGGTTACCTGGAAGGTAGCTTGCTAGCTCAGTGAGCTAGCTGACTGGCCTTGCTGGAGCGCGGGGAGCCGCCCGCCTTCCTCCTTGCCGCCCTGGGACATCCACCCGACCCCCCCCCCCCTGTCCCGCCCGCATCTCCCGAAGGCCCCTTCTGCAAGCTGACCTCGCTCTGTTGTGCTGAGGTTTGTCCAGAGGGGACGCAGACGCGGAGTCAGGAACGAGAATCATCAATCATCGACCAACCAACCCATCGCCTCTTTCCTTCCCTCTCTCCCTGTCGGCCAGTCCGCTCTCAGAGACGCCGGGTGGCTTCCCTGCACCCCGATCCTCAGCACCCACCTGGTGTTTACTACGTGTTTGCTGCATTGAATTGTCTCCCTCCTCCTTCCCATGTGCCCCCCAACTCCCAGCACACACCACCCCCCCCCCCCAGCGTTTCCCTCTCTCGCTCGCTCTCTGTCTCCCTGTGGCTTTCCACTTCCTCTCCCTGTGTTCCCAGTGTCATCTGTCCCGTCTCTATCTTTTGTCCGTGTCTGTGCCCCTTCTCCACTCAACTCTCTCAAAGACCCCGCTAACCCCACCCCACCCCCAACCCCCAGTTTCCCCACTGATTTAAAAAAAAAAAAAGTGCCAAACCTCCTAGGAACTGAGCCGCTCTGGGGGGAGGGACCCTCAGACGGGAGGGGGGGGCAGGACACGGGACCCTGTATCCCGGAGAAGGCCCCTAAGAGGCATTGAAAAAGTCCACGGACACTCTGCTCAATTGGGTCCCCCTTCCTCGCCCCTCCCACCCTGAGTTTTTCTTAGAATCTTTGTAAGAAAAGAAAAAAGAAAAAAAAAGTTATCTCCCTTCCGCGAATAACCCCTTCCCTTTTGAATCCCCCAAATTCCATCAGCCAGGGAGAACCCCACTTGCCTCCTTGGGGCTAAGCTGTAGAAATTTGGGGGAAGAGAGGAGACAAACTCAGCCCCTCCTCCGCCGGCCCCGCGGATGGTGCCAACTGGATGCCAGAGAAGGACCTCAAGCACTTAGGAGAAGGGGTTCCATGTGCCAAATTCGCCTCTGAGCCAGCCTGCCCCAGCCACCTTCTTCTGCCCCGCCCCAGCCCCCAGCCTGCTTTCCGGGGGCACCGGGCTCCGCTGCAATAATCCTTAGGGACGAGAAGGCGGTGGCCGAGCCGTCTCCGTCTGCCTGGACACCCGGCCTGGACTTACTTGTAGGTGAGAAGGACATGCATCGCAGTTGGAACCTGAGTGTCCATTTCTAGACGGTTGGGGACCTCTGCTTGGGACACACAGGGTGGTGGTTTTTATCCCGGTGGTGGTTTTTCTCCCCTTCGTGACCCCCAAGCCCCTCAGTGCCCCCCTTATCTGTTTCTCCTCCCTGGCCCTGCATCCCTCACCCCCCACCCCCTCACTGCATCTCTGAGCTGGCAGCCTGCTGTTTGGAAAGTGAGAGGATCCCCCTGCATGGATGTATTTATTGCTCTTTCAAGACCAGGATGAGCGGGGGGGGGGGGGGGGGGGGGGGGCGGGGGGAGGGGAGAGAGAGAGAGCGCGCGCGCGCTGGGAAAAGGGTTAGTTAAGGCTGGGGAGGCTGGCGGGGTGCGTGCGTCCAGGCTACAGATGGGGTACCTCCTGTGGCCACCGCCCCGCGGGGTGCCCAGCGGCCTGGCATCCCCTCCATCCAGCCTGAGCTGGATGGGACGGAGGGGAGACCCGGATCGCGATGCCCAAGTCGCCTTGCCATCGCGATCCCTCTCCGCCTCCGGACGCCACTGGGGGGACATCCCCCGCCCCCCGCCCCCGGGGCGCCTGGCCAGGTGCGCGTAAGGCCGGTCTCTGGTCTCTGCGCTGGGTGCGGGGAGGCAAATGGGGACGTCTGTATGGGGGGGGGGGGGGAGGCTGCTGGTGTTTAACCCCTTCTGAGCCAGTCCAGGATACTCCTGTCTCCCAGAGATCCTTAGGGGGACCGCCTAATCCCCCTCCCCTCCCCTCTCTGTCTCCCCCTCCACCCCCCCTCCCAAAACCACCAACCTCTCATTTCCTAAGTGACTCCATCACCACCGGCCACCACCGGGACCTGCGGCCTCATTGCTCCAGCCACGCCCCACTCGACAGTCAGACTTCGCTCATCGAACTTTTTAATTAACCCTCTCTGTGTCCATCCCACGGAAAACTGTGTGTCCGGCCGGGGGGGGGAGGGGGGAGGCGAGGGGCAGCAGCTACCTTCCCTCCATCTCCTCCCACCGCCCATGCCTCCCCACCCGCACCCCATCCCAC